TTGGAACCTTTTATCTCACATCACAATTATTTTTCATCTTCATTACCTGATCCATCTCCTCACTAGGTTGTTTTTTTTTTTCTAGGCAGGTTTTTAAGATGTGTCAGCTCTGATATTGTTCATTTCAGTCTTTCTCTTTTTCCATCCACCCACAGCATTACCAGGGGGATGTGTGTGCAGGGGGCAGTATTTGTAGTTTTGGAGAAAACAGTTCTTCTGACATTGAAAAGATGTGGCTGAAACTTTTCATACATAAAAATCTTCCAAAATGAGCATGAGGAGAATTTCCTCACAAAAATAATTTGTCTAAGAGCAATTCCACAGAAAAGTGGAATTCAAGGAGAGGTGTCAGTCAAGCTTGATCATAATGTGCTACCCAGTTCCTGCCCAGTTGTGAGTTTAAGGCATATAATGCTTTTCTACCATTGCAATACACTATTATTCATGTGCCATAGAAGGAAAATGTTGGTATTAGTTCAGGGATGATGACTGATGATAGGGCGTGCCTTTGGAAAAACCCCGAAATGAAACATTGCTCTTGCACAGAAGCAGAGAGAAGTGGTATTTTTCCATAGTTCAGTAAGCTATTCTTAGTAAATACTGAGTTCATCCACAGGACAAGTATTTAGATGTATGGCAGTCATGGGGCAAAAGCATCTGCAGGCTACGTTCACCTGTAGTATAATTCTATTGGCTCCAGTGGAGTGACTTCTAGGTTGAACTTTTCTGTTCAGTATCGGTGTCAATATGAAGTTTGAGACTATTTTCTAATGATGCTGTTGTAACTTTTCACACCTTGTGACTGAGCTATGTAGTATGTCAGGTAGGGCAGGACAGAAAATCATTGGAAAAGCAGGCAAATAATTCAGATCATGGGAAAAATCCCGTGAGGTTTAAGGGATCTGAAATCGCAGCCTTTGCCATAACACAGGTACTTAAGGAGAGCTCTAGGGAAGTCTTTAGCACCAGACACTCGCCCTGTAACTGCCCAACTTTCCTTCACAGTGTTTGAAAACAGGCTGATACTGTAGGAAAGACTGTTCAAACAGCAGAGGCTTGTTGCTGTTTTGTCTGGTACAGAGTGCTAAGCTATGGTTATGGGGCAAAACAAAAACAGCAAGACTGTTCTGTAGTGCAACCTGGATGCAATCCTTCTGAGTAAGAATAAAAATAAATGAGAACGGTGCAGTTTGGTAGAAATGTACATCTTGTTATGTGCTTGATTCTGTTTCTCAACAAGAACTGTTTTTACCATTCCTCCCTGGTGGACAGCATGAAAAGACCCAGTGGAAGAGTTTTCTCTTCCATTTAGGATGAAGAAATTGGTAAAGGGCACATGTTTGCTATAATAATTTCTAATCGTATTACCACGACGTTCTGTTTTGTTGACAAGAGATTTTTGTGTCTGTGGGAAAGTTTCCTGAATGTGGTAATTTGCCGATTTAAAGGCGTGGGAGGGCAGCCCTTCAGCAGTGTATGGCTTTGGAAGGGAGGAGACCTAGGTCTCAGTTCTGAGATATGAGGTATTTACGACTTCAGTTTCCCCATCGTTCAGCTGGAGCAATAAGAGATCTTTACCTCCTGGAGAGCAGAAACTCAGTTCCTTACTGTAAAGGGCTCTAAAGTTGTGGATTGAGAGTATTGTTCTTAAAGTGCATCCTGAGTTTTCTGCCAAAAAACCTACAAAACTCCACTGGACAGTTAAATAACCTGGGCATTTTCACTATATAAGGAAATATAAAAGTGGCATGATGAAGCCATTTATTTCTCCCATATGAAGTAGTTGGTCTAATAAAGGTATTATCATTACAAATAAATCTTGTCTTGCCATCCAATGGACGTTGTCTCCCTTGGGGCTTAGAATGAAGATCTGGAGAGAAGTGGCCCTTTCAGACCCCAAGTGCTGGTATTCAAAGTATCAAAATGTCAAAAAAAAAAAGTTTCTTTTCTGATTTTGTCTCTTTCCATACCATTGAAGAATTACGTGCATATTCACCATTTTAGTTGTATACTATTAATACTATTAATTACTATTTTTATTCAATCTGCCATAAGCCTCACCGGTGAGTTTTTACGAATACGCTACTATCCTTGCAGTGAAACTGTATTTCCCGCATAATTTCCTACATGTGACATCAGAATGCCACATTTCCTTCTGACATATGATGACGTGGGTAATAATTTAGAGTGCCAAAACTAGTCAGGCCAGTGCAGATAGGAGCAGGAAGATCCCACACCCTCTGAACCCCAAATCTGGGTTCTTCACCCAGTGTGCAAAAGCCAGTCAGCACACTGAGCCAAGATATTTGCTTTTATTTCAATTCTGTGCAGAAAAGGGTGCTAGGCATCTAACACAGCCAGCACACCTTCCTAGAAACAAGTGGAGTTTATATACAAAAGAGTAATGAAGACTTTACAGCAAAGTACCTGATTGGTTATCTACTTTTACATAACAGAAATCTCTCTATGCATGTCTAAAAACCCATCCAACTCATTGCACTAAGGTGGTCTCATGTTATACTAAGGTGGTCCTACATTTACACGTAAAATCTCCTCCTAGGAATGTGTTTTTTAGTATTAAAATCACCTAAGGTAACTAGAGGTTGTACCTCATCCTCTCAACTACCACAAGGTTACTGTTTAATCTCATGTCTGACTATAAATCCTGATTTTAGGTAGTTGCTGTTGCAGACCTCTGCTTTCAGACAACGGTCATTTACAAGGTGGGGGTCCGATGCACCTGTCATTGGGAGTGTTCTGTTTTTGCTGTCATGGTGCTAAATTAAACCATCGTGGTTACCCAATTTTGCAGGCCTCTAACTCTGTACTCTCAATGTCATAGGGAATCTTTGCTATTTCATTATTTGTGAACTTGTCTGGACTTGTCCAGCTGCTTTTCCCTTTGGGTCAGTTTTCCTCAATCATCTCCTGTTCAGCTGTTCTAAGAAACTCTTTGTATTGGCTCCTTCTGTGGAACCTGTGTTAGCTGAGCTGGGAAGCAGCACATAGCTGGGAAGTAGAGCACCTTAGGATTAGAGGCCTCATGTGAAGCCTGTTGAAGGAGGTAAGAGGCTACAATTAACTTTGCTGGGGATTTGTTCTAAATATTTATGCAAGGGGTCTTCACGCAGAATTATTGGTGCTTTCATTCTCATTAACTGGATCCATGTCAGATTGCTGACCTGATTCCTTTGCAGACAACTTGCCACCTTTGCAGCAACCACACGAACCCTTATGAGTGCAAAAGTCTTCTTCTAGTGACCACGTACTCCTGTATTTCATAGAACAATTTCTCCCATATTTCACTTAGAAAGAATCATAAAGCAGGTCATCCTATGAAAGCCTCAAGATATCCAAAGACAGCACAGAGTGCAGTCCCAATCTGGATGCAGCATCCCAAATGTGGCTGTACAAAGCACAGTTCGACTGCTCTAGTCTGAACGTGATCTCACCCTGGTGCTATGCACTCATTGGCATGCTCCCACAGCAGTGCTCAGTGCGGTGGCCAGTCTTGCATAAATTTGACATTAGGAACAAGAAGCTGGGACAAGAAGTGCAGGATTTGGACTCTGTGACTAGCGTCCTCTAAAAAAATCGTGGTATACCTGGATGATGCCATATTTCAGACTCCTAAATATCCCTGTCGGCAGTGTGGTATAATGTACATTTTTATGTGGCACCATTTAGTGTCTGAATTAGCAAGCATCTGAGGAGCTGCAGCTAATTCATTCACCATGCCAATTTACAAAATAGTATTATCTCATAACTTGGCCTTGTCTTTGGTTGTTTCAGCTCAGTGACAACTTATTACATTACTCAGCATGTGCAGATGGAAATGATGCACTGAGATGGTGACTGAATGCAGACTGTTCTATATTTGTCATTGGCTTTTCGTAACCCTGGATCAAGAAAATGCTTCATGAGGGGTTAAAAGTGTGCAGACACTCATGTCAAGATGGGCAAATCTTCCCAGCAAAGACTGAATATAGCACTGCTATACCACATTGGAATAGTCATGATAGTCATAATCGTCATTGCGATTGCCAATTGATCACTTTGGGAAATCACAGTGATGAAGAATTCTCTTTATTTGATTTGAAAATTCTGGTTTGCTCTTTTTGAAAAAACAAAACAAAACAAACAGCAAACCAACAAAACGAAGCAAAAAAACAGCAGCCACTGTGTTCTGTTTGAAATTATTTGTCCTTAGGAAAGATTTTTATTTCCCACTTCTCCCCTGCCCCAAGATGGACATGAGTGTTTTTAAGTGTCACTGAAAGTATTGCATGCAGAGACAAATCTATTCTAAAAAATCACTTCACCATTCACTAAAAAGAAAGGGAAGTCTACCTGTGAGGCTTTTAACACCTGAACATTTTAGTATTTAAAGAGACCGACCTTTAATTGGGTATCTCCTGTCTGCTGCTGCTGCAGGTACAACATAACTGCGAGGAGGAAAGCTCTCTTCACTGACTCCCAAGAACAGAGCACAAAACACCAGGCCACCAAGTCCTCAGTCCTCCTTCATAGGAGGCTGTATATTTAGAGGTGTAATCCAGAAATGTACACAGGAAATCCTCCTTGTGTCTGCCAATGTGCCACAAAGGAGTGAACTTGCCCTGCATTTAATAAATTTAGGTCTTTCCTACAAGAGGAAAATTTAGCTGAAGGCAAGAAGGCCGTTACTGCTGTCCTAAGGATTTGCAATATTAGGAACCTCAAATACTGAGAACTTACCTTCTGGATCCAGCTGTTTTTCACTCATCTGACTTGGACATAATCAGTAATTTGCCTACTCCCTGCCTGAGCCCCTGGACTAATTCTAGTCCTCCTATATTCCTAGGCCCACACTAATCAAATGGCTCTCAGAGAAGGAGCTGAAGACTGCACACACAGTGATGTTTATGGAGAAAACAGGCCCTGGGGTGGAACACATCCATTTACCAGGTAATCCTGGCAGTTACTTGTGCAGAACCTTGTTAATTCTTCACCCATTTGGCCTAGGGATCTGAACAGATTTGCTGGCTGTTCTTCAGTGTTGCTCTGCAACGGAAAGAACGTTTCGCTGTCATGAAAACTGGCACCTGAGGAGGTCAGAGGAGGACATAAACAAGGCTGAGGATTATAAGCTTAAGGGCTGCCAACTCTTCGGCATTTATAAGGTGCACCTTCTCTCACCTGCTGACTTTGTTTACATGATTTCCACAGAGTTGCGGTGTGGGCCCTTAGAAATGATTTCTACATTGGCCAGGTGTTTTGGCAACATTGACCCTGTGACAGTCTGGATGCAGTGACACCGCAGCTCCACTGCCAGTATCATCTTTGGGAGGAAAGGAAAGGGAAGCTTATAATGTCTGCAACCGAACCAAAATAACAATGAAAAAATTAATTAGAGAAAGCAGAAGGCATAAAAAGTTGATGCCTCAAGGTATAAATTGATTTCCTTTTAGGTCTAAGGTCTTTCCTTTAGGTCTAAGGTAGTACCTACACTGAGCGAGAACAGGGCATTGGAGATTTGCAGGCTTTGAACAGTTAAGAATTGATAAGTTCCCATTATGAGTACATTTATTTCAGGGGCACACAACATTGAGTGCAATGACAGGCTGGTAAAGCGAGGTTTCCCTCCCTTCGGATGCTGGTTACCCCAAGGTGTGCAGTAGTGAACAGGGCTCCAGGCAGCGTTCTGTGCAGATCCTGACCATGGAAAGGTTACCCCATTGAGAGTCATTCAAGCTCTTCTGAGTATTTTCTACAAAGAAAACCACCTTATTTATTATTTCTACTGTCAGATAAGAAGGATGTTCACGTGAGATCTGGTTGCTGGAGTATGAGGTAAGGGCAAGACCATGCAGCTAAGCACCAGCTTTGAGTGGGAGTTACCTGCAGACTTCTCTGTTACAATCAGCTGGCTAAAAACAGAGCAAATTTTTGGTTTTTTCTTGCTAATAAAAAGGGAAATATAGTCTAAGAGAGGGAAAAAGGTTGAAAAATGTGAAGAGGAAACAGTCTATTAGCATCAATTTGAGAAGGAAAATGTTCTCAGAGAAGACAGTAAATAACCGCTCCACCTCACTGAGCAATGTGGGCTATGAGGGAAAACTCTGAATGGTTCTGTGTGACAAATGGTATAGCAGTCATGTGGAAGCTGCTGGTTTTCCTTGCAGCCAGGTTTCACTGTTTGTCTGAACCAGTAACACTCCTCATGTGAACACCTTCAGCTTCTCGGCACTTTGTGTTATGACCCAGTGGCATAGCCCGTTGGGTATGGAGTATCTGTCATTTGAGTCAGTTTGTGATTTCATAATATGCAGCTGATCTAAGTGATGTGTGCGTGTGTGTTTATATATATAGCTGTCGTATTGTAAAAGCCATCCTTTGATAGACATTTTGTTTATTTAAATATACACATATACGTAAGGAACCCCTCCCACTCTCTGTTGCTTTTTGTCATGTACCTTTGTCCAGCTTACACTGTCCCCTAATTTCTTCTCACTTTAATGTTTGCAAAGTTGCATAAATGGATTGTTTTTCTTAGCTGCAAGACATCTTTTTAGTCCATTATTACTCTAAAATTCTGCACTGAGCTAAAGGATAAGTCAGGCAAAATAAATTCTTTTCCTTGAGAAGGTTTCATAGAATCACAGAATGGTTTGAGTTGGAAGGAACCTTAAAGCTCATCCAGTCCAACTCCCCTGCCATGGGCAGGGACACCTCCCACCAGACCAGGGTGCCCAAAGCCCTGTCCAACCTGGCCTTGAACACCTCCAAGGAGGGGGCACCCACAACTTCCTTGGACAACCATACTAAGACTTTCCCCCTTCAAGAGCAACAGTAGGAAGATGGTATCACTAAAAAAAAATAGAGTAATTTCTCCTTTTCTGAATGATGTAACACTTTCTCCTAACCACAACAGCCTAAATTTAAATTTATTTTCTCTTTAAAATTCTGGCATTACAGAGAGAAAAGCTATTTTATACATCATGAAGTTTTCAGAATTCCATAAGATTTTTCTCTATGTCTACAACTCAAAAAAGTAACATCCAGTTACAAGCCAGTTAAAGAGGAAGAAATAAGGAACATGGCCAATCCTTGTTCTTAGGAATTTGCTTCCCAATGGTTTCTGGCTGTGTTACAGGATGAGGCAGCTGTCTTCAGGTGTCGCGGCAGAACACTGCATGGCTCTTAGTCGTGTCCCAAGACCAGGATGTGGTTATACCTTCAGATAAGGTTATACTGAAAATCCTGAGCAAACAGCAATTGATTTTTCTGTCACTAAATCAGTTCTGCGTACCTACTGATTGCAGGTATTGTTTGCATTAGGAATGTACACTAAAAAAGAATCCAGAGATGGAGATTATTTGCTTTAAAAGGTGTCAGGGCTCCTTGTTACAGCTGGGACCTGAACAACTTCTTTTTCTGGAGACACATTTACTGTTTTCCCTTGTAAACTGCCGTGGTTTCTTACTGCGGCAGACTCTGCTGCTCCTTCCCACACAGCAAAACCCATTAACTTGAAGCACAGCCGCACTTGAAGTTAAAGCAGAATACAAGTTCCTGCAGACTGCAGGAATACATCCATCCTGGAGTTACTCTCTCTTCACATTGGCAGCTCCGGGTGAAGGGTTTAAATAATGTGCCTTTGAATCTAAAACCACATTTGCTCAGTACAAAGTGACCCCGATGCTTCAGAGAGAGCTGGACTGCAGGCGTGCCCAGGAAACCCTGGCACACACAGAGGCTACTGCTTTCCCTTCCCAGCTAGCCAAACTGGCGCAGGTACACATGTTCATCTCAACGGGGAACTACTGAAAAACACAGTATATTTTCAACAAGAAAATATTTTATTGGATTATATTTAAGTACATTATCTTTTCATGTAAATCCACCTTTTTACATACATTTTTCCCAAAGAGAATACAGAAAATTACTTATTCTATATGAATTATGACCATATGCCATACAAGCAGACATAAAATATCTAAGCCTTTTCAAAACATTTAATGTTCCTTAACATCGTCTGTATAAATACCGAATAATTAAATGTAAACTCATTTAAAAGCAAACAAACTAACCAACCCCAACTTTATCTTGTTAAAAACCAAAACATTATTGGCATGAAACCCTATAATTTCATGGAAATTCTTAAACTGTCGTAATTATTCAATAGAGTGAGACTTCAAGAGCAAGCTTTCTGTAATTTCGCTGTGTAGAAAAAAAAGATTTCCCAAAACATTCAGAGCTCAAGGCTCACTCTGAGCCCAGGCACATTTGCACAGCGGTCTCCACAATGGCCCCATCTTCTTTTTGGATATTAATGCTATTTATAAGAACTTGTTGGCAAGTAGTGTTTGAAGAGAAGGAGAAGCACAAAGGTTCTGAGGCTGCTCAAGTTGTGAGAACGGCAGCATGGTCGCTGAGAGGTGCCTAGCAGAGCCTGTGCTGTTTTATCAAATGGATTCAATCACTTTAGCTCAGTCAATAAATACGTACATAGGAATAGGCAGTAATAAATATGAGTGGAGGGGAGCAGAAAGTCTTTGAGAGACTGAACAGCCGGTCTACAAAGTCATCAAAGCCAGAGAGCTGGTCTAGTATCTTCTTTCAGCATCCATCTCCCAGTATCTCCTGGCAAACACAAGTAGCTTCATTTGGAGATGTTTCTTCCCTCAGAGCTTGTTACGTGAACTGCAATGGGCAGAATTCAGATTATAAAGGCACTCAGGAAATCTTTCCTTAAGTATTCTTGCATGCCACAGATAGTAAGTCCCATAGGAGATATGTCTTCTGGAAAAGATGCCTGATGATGCTGGTGGACCAC